TATGAGAATATAGTAACAATATTAGCAGAATAAAGATGAAATTTTACCAGGACGTCTTCTAGATCTGAGAAAAAAGTTTTAATGAGATTGTCAATTTATTTTCTACGTTGGCATTCTTACAAAATTACTACTTCATGCTCCTAATATTACCACTTTAATGTCCTATTACTAGCACTGTATGCTTGTAACTTCACGACTTTATTCTTTTAAAAAAACAACAACCTTAGACTGACTTTAATATTTTGTCGTAGAGTTGACCTGAATTAAAAGTTTTACAGCTTCTATATTAGCAGCTAGCTACCAGTAGTTACAACCATGTTGAGTCACAGATCGCAGTGAAGATATGTGTGTGACTCAAAATAAAACCCCACAAAAAAATAGAAAATTACATAGAATATTAAATTAAATCGTCCTACCACAACAAAATTTAAGACCTGGGATAGCTCGAGTCCTAGTTAGCAAGGATACATTAGCAGCTGCTAGCTTCTGAGTCACAGAACTCAGTGAAGATCTCTGCACACGACTGAACTCCCACAAGAAAACAGAAAAAATATGGCATTGTAAATAGTCCAGATGGCACAAAATTTAAGCTGCGGGATTTGGATATTTAAGGCCAACTCATTGTTTTCCAATTTATTTAAGACATTTTAATGCCTTAATTTTAGATACATGAATTTAAGACTTTTGAAGGATCCCCAAGCTTAAGCGAATGCCGTTTCCATGGTTCCTAGACTCAACTTCCCAATGAATACAAACAGGAACTCTCTAACTTATCAGACACCTCCGATCTGGACATCTCCATCAGGGACAGCAATATCCCTTCTTTCATCTATACATCCTCTTAGACTTTGGGTAAACACGAAGAAGGCCCTCGGCTGAAGCAATCCGTCTCTCTTTAGTGCGCTCACACTCCGTTGGACAGTGACGGATCGTCCATTGAACTTGGCTCCCCGGAGCTCCCATCAATCACCTCCCTCTGTCCCATGGCGGACCGCCGATCTATCGTCACCCCTCACCCCCCATCAGGAAATCAGACAATGGGAGGGCCTGAAATCAACACTGGGATCTGACTTGACCTGCTGAGGGTTTGCAGAGTGGCTTTTATTTCAGTCCACCCTCAGTGAGTTGGACGATGGGGTTTTGTTTAATTACAAGGATGTTATTACAAAAACACGCAATTTTACCAGAATAACGTCTTGAAATTACGGGAAAAAAGTTGCTTTAATGGGAAAAGCGTCTAGAGTCATTAGGATTTGAAGCGTTTCTTTTTTCATAATGGACTCACTTTGTTCCTGATGTGTTAAAAGTTTACCAATTTCTATAAAGTATTAAGTATTAACTGTGAAACATATACCAAAGTATAAATTCAAGACATAACGTTCCTCATCAAATTATGTTATTTTATGTGTTGGAGTTTTCATAAAAGTATTTTGTGACTCTATTCTGGAAACATTTCGACATTACTCGGGTAACTTTACTACAATAACCTTACGACTTTATCCCAGTAACTTTACATCTTTGTTTCAGTAACATTACGTCTTTATTCTCGTAATACTATAAACTTATTCTCATAATATTGGCCCTAAGACTCTGTAGAGTTGACCTGACTTCAAAGTCCAAATAAGTAAAAGCTGAAAAACAAGATGGCGGCCATTGGCGAGTTGACATCACTCATCGCTATGGAAATCCAAGGAGTGCATTAGTGAAATAAAAATTAAAAGTCTAGATTTTCCAAAAATTAAATCTTCAAAACTCCAAACCCAATCAAAGCAGTCGTGATGTTCCACTCTTTATCACAATACAACCACAAACATCGATGGGATTCATTGGGATTTTACAGGACAGTAAATACTTTAAACCAGGTTTAGCTGCAGCTGTCTGCCAAAGTTTTCACATTTCTGCTCATTCCTATTTGTAGAAAATCAATTCTCTGATTAATTGGACAAACATGTCTCGGTAGGTTTGCAGCCATCCAAGAAAAGTTTTCTGTTTAAAATTATGGCTGTCTTAATGCCAAATCTAGGGATATCAACTGTTTAGGTAACTTTTGAAGGCAAGTTGTTGCACTGGTTTTTATTTAGTGGCTTGCAGCACTTTTCATATTATTTATGAAGGTATTTTCACAACTTTACACTACACAGTGTTGGTCTACGAGATAAAATCACTGTAAGCACATTGAAGTTTGTGGTGACAAGGTGACAAAATGTGAAAATAAAGACAAATGTAACCAGTCGGAACAGCAAGAGCACACAGAGAAGCATGAGAAGGGTCAAAAGGTGAGCGACTGGAAAACATTTCTTCAACAAATAATTGTTTCCATCTCCTTGCTAAAACCTGAGGTTTCATGGCAAATAGAAATAATACAAAACAAAACTTGCAGCTACCCAGAGATACTGGTGTTGAGAAAACACTGGACGGGGAGCATCGAGGTGAATACACACTTCTCTGTTGCCTGGTGACGTCGCCGTTCACTCATCTGGCGCTGATAAACCCCAGAACTTAGATACCAAAAGACCCAGGCGATGGAAAACAGGGAACACTTCAACAACCGAGGGAGAAAGACAACGTTCCCCCCCACACACACAAACCAAGCCAACAAGCGGAGAAACGAGCATTTGGGAGGCCGAGTTCCTCTCATTTCCACTCAATCGACTTGCCAGAGAATATCCCCCTTCCTTCTGGCCAGCCTCGTGGGAAAGAGATGGAAAAAGCGGAAGCTTTTGGAGGTGCGCCCTGTGCGTTTGTGCCCATTAGTCATCAATGGGGGAACCTGGACCGTTTGTTCCTTTCCTTCGCGTTGGCACACGACACACACAGCGAGTGTTTTCTGGCTCCGGAGAGCCACGAATTGTGACAGCCAAGTTTTTTGGCAGGACACCCGATGGTTGGTTACGCAACGGCTTCCGTCATTTCAGCATGAGCAGAAACAGATTGTTGTATTCATAAACAGTTGCTGTGGAGATGCGCCCACACAGGCTGAGTCAATAGATGGTCTGGATCAGCCTCAGGGCCGCGGAGATAAAAAGTGAGCGCTGCAGAAAGTGAATAAAATCTATGACGACAGTCCTGATCCAAACAAAACTGAGTTTGTCAGGGATACCCAACTCCATGGTCCGTTAGGAATAATTAAGGACAACTACTACAACCTGGAACAATTAATCGTGATTAATCGACTACCAAAATAGATGTAAACTAATTTAGTAATGCTTAATTGTTAACTGGAAAATAGAGGCAAAAAAATTGCTAAAATTTTGACTGAGTGCTTTGATCTGGATTGCTACTTTTAACTACATCCTGTTAAAGCTGAAATAATTACTCATGATTAATCGATCTACTGAAATAATCGTCAACTAATTTAGTAATCAATTAGTCATTAACTGGAGGATACACACTAAAAACAAGATATGCTGAAAATCACATCGACTGCTTTAACCTGATCTACTACTTTTATCTACATCCTGTAGGGCTGAAACGGTTAATAGATTACTTAAATAATCATCAACTAACTTAGTTTTTGTGAAAGAAAACCACCCTGAGAGCAGTAATTAAGCAAAACTTTATATATATTAATTTTCCATTTAAGATAAAAAAAATATGTTCTTCCCAGAACTAATAGAGTGGCATTGTTTAGCTTCACCTGACAAAAACAAAAATCTCCTATTAAGCATCTTTTGCTATCCAATTATGAATCAATTAAAAATGTAGTCAATCTACAAATGATCAAGTGTTCACTTATTGCATTTTAGGCAATAAAATGTTTATTTTCTTACGCATTTTTAATGTTGTATAAAATAAGCTCACATAATTACCTGGAAAATCTGCAGAATGTGCCAGTTTTTTATCCGATTAATCAATTAATCATTTGAACAACCAATTACTAAAATAATCGTTAGCTGCAGCCATATATCCTGTACAACTAAGCAAGCAAATCAGTCTTCTTATGCCATAAAATGTTACATTGTAAACCTCCAAAGTTGTTCAGGGTGTCAGACTAACTTGTAAAATGTTGGACAGCAAGGGTACAGATGATTGGGTCATATTACCCAAATTCATGCAACCAACACCCACACGAAATGAATCATATGACAATCTCACGCAACAGTAACTCACTTGAGATCATAATGAGAACAGTAAATCAAAAAGGAAAGCGGAAAGTAGGACAAAGAAGTAACCTGAGGACAACTACACGCTTTGGTTCCTTTAAATTATCCCGCCGTCAGCCGCCAGGGGGCTCCTGCCATGTGGCTCCTCCGCTTAAAAGAGGGATTTAAATTTCTCCAGCTGTCAATCAAAAAGCCCAATCATAACAAGCCCCTTGTTCTCTAACAAATTAGTTAAGAACATTACGTGAAAATGTGTATTTTTTCTTGAAAATAAAAACAACTCTAGAAGTGTCTGTAAAGTAAACAAAAACCCCACAAAGTGTTTCCAAACAAGCTACGAAGTGAGGTGAATCTAATTAAATTTAAAGTAAACTCTAAAGGTCGAGTTCACTTTTAATAATCAGGTCAGGCAGATTGGCGCTACGCAATGTGTTTTCTAACACTTTATCCTATAAATCTCAGTAAATTGTAATATTTTTATGAAGAGAAAACATGCAGGCTTTGTATGTTCCGATCACTGAACTAAGCTTTTGATCTCGGGCTGACTGACACAGCGCTGTCTTCTTCTAACATACACACTCAAAATAAGTATTTAACTCGATAACGTCAACTGTGAAAGGATTTAAGACCTCCTAGTTCAAGTCGGGTGATTTAATGTGTCCAGCTGAAAACCTATTTAAGCTCAAAACGATGTGGAAGACATCGCAACCCCACTTTAGCTCGTTAAGTCGCGTCAATAGACGATTTAAAACCCCCGTCGCCCACCGCTAGTGTTAGCAAGCTAACTTAGCCACCAGTCAACACCGCTCGGAGAAACCGTCGGCTTTACTAACTAAACAACCAGTGTTTGTCGCCTTCACCGAGCCACGTCCGTTAAAGACATCCCAAACAACCTACCTGCCGTGAAACCAGTCCTTACAGATGTCGCATTCGATCATAAACCGGCTCACATCGTAGGGCTGCCGGCAGACACAGTACAGCGGGGCCGCCGCCATCTTCCTACTGTCCCCAAACAACGCAGGAATGAAGCGGGCGGGGATTTAACCCACAGTCCGGAAACACCCGAGGTGAGAATTTAAGCATCCGGAAACACCCGAGGTGATAACGGGGCGTCCGGATGAAGCCGAGGACAGAGTTGTATGGCAGAGCGTTGTAACATATAATCTGAGGCAGGTAGAGTATCCAAAAATTGTAATCAATTTAAAGTAGTACTTATTCATCATGTTTACTCGTGTAAAAGCACCGAATATATGATCTGAAGATCTGAACATTTGATTTAATATTTAAAAATCGTGAGACAAATAAAAACATAAACTTTCGAGCAAAATGTAAAAATTACAAATGTAGGTAGAATAAATATTTTCCTAATGTTTATTTTTTCAATGCAAAGCTAATAAAACTAATACATATCTATATTTAGCATTTACTGTATCTTCTTGACCTCCAAATATAACAACAGGTTCAGTAGATAGAAAATAACATCAGAATAATAAAGTTTGTCTCACTAAAACATATTGTAGGTGTGCCTCCTAATCTCCTAATACATATTTGAAGTCAATGTTATCAACAGACTTGTGAAAAAAATCATCTTGTGACGTCTTGAACCGCTTTAATTATTGTGTGATATATAGTTTTGCCATAATCCCGAAGCGTTACGAGGTCCTCCGTTCTATTGAAGCCCACCTCTGACGTCAGTTTCCAAATTATTCATTTCCATCTGTCTATGTAGGCACACAAACAATAGGCTTTTTACAAAAAGAAAGGGATGACATAATAAAACAGTGTCATGATTTTCCTTCTCAAGAACAAACTGAGATTTATTTTCCTTAATTATTTTAGTTTTTTTACTAAATATAGGAAAGAAATCATGACCAACAGCCTTATATAATATTGCATTGTACAAGCAGGGATTAGTGAACCCCAGGACAGAGAAACATAAAACAAAACCCAAATTTCATTGTGAATTTTTGTCGATTTTTAATTCAATGTATAATTTAATGTAGAATTTAGTGTATTGAGTCAATCTGCATATATTTTTCATTATTAATTGTCTTTTTCTAAAAAAATCAAATCTTCTTCATAACAAAATGTTTAAAAATGTTGAAAATAAAATTAGTGAATCAGAATCATTCAGCTTCATATTCAGTTAGTTATAATAAAAATAAATATAATTGAATTAAATTATAAAAATGATATGTCAAATTATTTAGGTGCCTTAATCCAAATGTTCATAATTTACCAATCATTTACGTTTTAACTTTATTGACTCAGGTACTCACTTAAGTTTATTAGAATAAAATTACAATAAATTTAATTTAAAAAGTCTGATTATTTCACTTTATTTAGGTACTGAAATACAAATGTGCATAATTTATCGGTAAAATTAAAATTCTATTAATGGATATATTAAAAATAATAATAAATAAATACAATACTCTGAAAAGGATATTAAAATAAAATAAAAAAAATTATAAAATAAAATACTCAGGCATACTAAAAAATAGATTAAATTAAATTGAATTAATCCGTTTATGTCACTTTATTTAGGTGTCTGACTCAAATGTGCATAATTTACTTCTCAATAAATTGTAAATTTAAATACAATTAGATGTTAATCTAAATAATTTAGCTCTATTCAATTAGGCTTATTAGAATAAAATAAAACTGAATCCCATTATGCATAATCAGCAGTTATTTATCAGTAACCTATAAACATGCCGTTATCTCGCCAAGCAAACAAAAGCTGTTTCTCTGACTCATTCCAGCGCTGAATATTTGCATGGCTGCACACATTACAGCATCCATTTTCAGCCTGAGCAGCTCAGAGGAGCTTAAAAAAAAATCAAAACACAACGCAGACGCTCAGCGTGTCTCAGCGGAGGATGTCTGACATGCCCTACGTGCCTGCGTGCTGAATAGCAATGGGACCACCGACCCACAGCCTGATCCGAGAGCTGACAGCACCCATCCCCCCTCACATCCATCTGTGCTGCTCTGCATCGCAGCTCCACTCAAGGTGCATGAAGCCTCATCTGCAGATTGTTGACTTTATGGATGCAAACAGTTCTCAGAGCTGCTAGCAGTTAGCTGCACTTAGCTAAAGAAGATAATTATCAGTTCATTTTAACTGATTGGACAATGTTTTGAAGGAGCAAAGTGCAACACACTCATACTGTGAACTGCAAAGACCACATAAGTTTGGATTGGAAAAATAACATTAAATCAGTTAACACACTGCAAAAACAAACTAAGTATTTTTGCTGAATTTCCAGTGCAAATATCTTACCACACTTGAAAAGAAACAAAACTAGCTTACAAGTAGATTTTTTTTTTTAGCAAGGAGCAATAATTCATAAATATTGAAGAAAAAGTGCGAGTTATAAGTCTCATAAGATATTTGCACTAGTAAAAGTCCAAAAATACTTAGTAAGATCTTCTATTTTTGCACAGTGTCTTATAAAATAAAAAAAATATTTTGTTTGCAGTACCTCAGTGTGCGTTTTAAGTCAATAATTTGTTTATTTTGATTTTAAAAGTATTATTAGCATATTATTTAATTTGATACCACATTTTTCCTTTATTATAAGTTAAAATATCATGTTCCATTGGCAGAATATTTCACTATAACTAGTACTTATGAGAACAAAGTCATAACATTACAACTTTTTTGGTATTTAGATAGAAATTAGACAAAAAGTAAAGATTTAGATTTTTCCCTTTCTCTTTAACAAATGCAATTATCTACTGTTTGGATTTGTTTAGGTCCTATTTGTTTAATATTAAAATTCTTATATGCATGTCATATTTAAACAAGCGAACACAAAAAAATTCAAAAACATTTTCTGTTTCACAAACTAAAAATTATATATTTTGGTGTTCAGGCGCCATCTGCTGGTGAAATTGTATACTACTGTTTACAAGTCCGAGGACGCTGTACGCAGCACCAGCTTACGTCATCACGTAACGGTGTAACAGACACCCGCTGCCCGCTTCGCCTCTTGCGGTTTAACATCCTTCGATATGTTGCGTTTAAAACAACCAAATGCGTTTCAAACGTGACTCTCCTGGTCGCCACGGAAACTCGGGGTTGATTTTAAAACCGACCGGATGATAAAACAGGTAAGATGATTAAAAATCAGCAACGTCACATCAGCGTAGGCTGTTTACATGTAAAAATGAGAGTTAATGGTCATTTATATACATCTCCACCCTGAATACTAGTCTGCTCCTTTAACAAACCAGCAATTTTAGTTTTATTTGTAATGTTTTTATCGTCTTCCTGTCATTATGACGTCTAGACACAATTAAAAATGGTATAATTAATGTTTAATAGCTATTATTAATTGAGACTCCATAAACAAATGAATTATTTTTATTAATACCTTTATAAAACCTCCTCGGTTGATTACTTTTAATGGTAGATTAATTTTTTTTTTAAATATGGTAGTAAAATAAAACATATGTATGGAAAATAAATATTTAACCAAATGTTTTTTATAAACATTTTTAATATGTTGCATTTAGTCTGCAGAAATGCGAGTAAAGGGTATTTGAAATAGAAAAATGTCCGAATATAGAGTTTTTTCCCCCAACTTAGCTTAAGCTTTTAAGAAGGTAAAAGACTGCATAAATGAGAATAAGTACAGAAATGATATATATGTATTAATATAAAAAGTACAACAGTTATTTAATGAAATAAATTGAAAATCAGTTAATCAATATAAATTAATAAAAATTAAATTGTATATTATTAATACTAATAATATACAAAAATAATCTGTGAAAAGATCAATATCTTCCACTTTCTCCTAGAGCTACTATTGCTAAAAATGCACCACTACTGACCAAAAACAACCAATCAGAGCCAGTGGGAGGGTCTTAGCAATGACAATCACCTCATGTATGCTCTGCTAAATGTGCTAATAGCAGAGAAGTGATTTACAGTTACAGGAAACCGGTTTATCTACTTTCAGTTGTGGTTATGCTAACTAGCCTTAGCATTCACAACAGGCTCTGCTAACTACAGGGTAGCAGAGAAAATGATTGACATCACTAAGACCCACCTCTTGGATCTAATTGGTTGTTTTGGAGTCATCACTTTGAGCAGGCGATTTATCACATTTTATCTGTCCTATATACTGTCACAACATAGTGACAGTTTCAACTAATACAAAACAAAATATTCTTATAAAAGTTACACCTTTAAATGACGATCTAGATCAGTTTTAAACATATTTTGTGTTTGGAGGATTTGGAAAGCCATCCTGACCGCTAAGATGAGGCGTCTGTCCAGAAGAAAAGCCCTGAGTCTGGTGAAGGAGCTGGACGCCTTCCCCAAAGTGGCAGACAGCTACGTGGAAACGTCTGCGTCCGGGGGGACCGGTGGGACCAGAACTCTGAAATCAAACAGAACCGTCACCAGAAACACAACCCAAGAGTAACCGCTCCGTCTGTCTCCTCCGCAGTGTCCATCATAGCATTCAGCGCCATGGCGGTTCTGGCCATATTGGAGTTCTTTGTGTACCGAGACACTTGGATGAAATATGACTATGAAGTTGACAATGATTTTTCCAGGTTAGCATTCATCGATACGTCAGCTTGCTGCATTGTGATTAGCTACAATACAGGATTTCTTCCAAAGTGTTATAAAGCCTGGCGGGCCACCAGGCTTAACTTACTGCCCCGCCAGGCTTAGTGTTTTTTATGTATTTATTTTTCAGTCATTTTCAACCTTTCCAAAGAAAGAAAACTGCTGAAACATTGGTGAAAAAAATACAAGACAAAACCAGTACAGAAATAAACAATATTTCAATTCCTGTCAATCGTAAAAACACAAAATGTTGACAGAAAAAAGTACAGGGAAGGAAAAGCAAAGCAGCAGAATTTTTCCTGTATATTTTTCTAAAACATGTCTCCAAGGAATTACATTTATTTTATTTTTATGGAAGACCAAAAGTGACATAATTAAAATTAAAAGCAGAAATATACATTGTCCATTTTAGGTAATATTTCTTTATTTTAATCATCTTTAATTTTGTTTGCCTTTTTTAAAAACTATCGGTGTTTCAGTATTGTAAATGACGCACAGTCAAATTTTCAAATTTACGGTCAATCTTTAACATTTTTACCACATAAAATGTTATACTGCGCGATATAAAGCTAAATATGTCTTTTTCTTGACCGCAGTAAGCTAAGGATAAATGTGGACGTCACAGTAGCAATGAAATGCCAGCGTGAGTAGCTGACGTTCTTCATTAAACTGTTTAAATGTGTTTAAATTTGTTAACTCAGGATTTACTTCTATGTTTTTATTGCAGATGTGGGAGCAGACATCTTGGATCTGGCAGAAACAATGATCACATCCAACGGCCTGCAGTACGAACCTGTGAGTTCACCTGTTTGGTTTGTTAAATTTAACCAGTGGTGTCAACATTTTTATGAAATCTGTCAATCAAAAACAAGAAAAGTGTATTAAACTGTTGAAATCAATTATTTCCAGTTTTACTATTCTTTACTTGTGGTCATGGGCCAAACAAAATCATTTCAAGGGCCACAAATGGCCCCTGGGCCTCAATTTGGACACCCCTGACTTATTCCAATCTCTGTTTTTCCAGGGAAAATACAACTTAAATTCAAAATAAGCAATGAAAAAATTTAGAAACCAGGAGCTTAAATACTGGATCAGGTTGTAAAGCACTAGATAAGCCAATTAAAGGAGACGTGGAACAGCTGTGGGACGGAGAGCAGCAGAAAAACTTAATGAGGAAACCAATTAATTAAGACTCAAGGAATCAGAGAGAAAAAGCCTGATAACAATCCAAGAAATTAAATTCAAATATTCATGAAACAAACTAAGTAAAGGAAATTAATTATATGGCAACACATTAACAACAATAATAAACATGGAAAAAACAATTTACCTTTAGAATATAAAAAATAAATTTGCAACACTGAGGGAAAAAAGTAAAGTTTTATTAGTTGTTTGTTTTTGACTTTATTTTGTTGTAAAATAAAACCAAATCCACCAAAAAACATCCAGTTACACACATTCAGTTCCTCCAAGTGACAATAATATTCCTTCCTAGATTTAAACATGCAGTTTATTTAAACATCTCTGTATTTAAACATGTTTTTATTATTTTGGACCAAAAAGCTAAAATTCCAGCTCCAGCTCCTCATGTCAGTCAGAAAATTGATGAAAGAAATCATTCAAATGTTTTGCTCATCTCATCTTTGTGCTTTTAATCAGGTTATTTTTGAATTATCCCCACAACAGAGGCTGTGGCAAAGGTAGGAGAAGTTTAATGTGAGTATTCAGCGTTATGTTTTCAGGATTAGATGGTAACTTAATGCTTGTTTTTGTCCTTCAGGACGCTGCGTCTCCTTCAGAGCAGGCTGAGGGAGGAGCACGCTCTGCAGGAGGTTCTGTACAAAACGCTGCTGAAGGGAGCGCCCACCGCTCTGCCGCCGCGGTTCGTCTCCATTCAGACCACGCGGCTGGTAAAGTACGACTCAGCAAAAATGTTTGACGTGTGGTCTGGGTTTCAGGGAGGACGCACCCAACGAGCCGCTCAACGCCTGCAGGATTCACGGACACGCTTACGTCAATAAGGTGGCAGGAAACCTACACATCACAGTCGGAAAGTAAGGAAGTATGCAGAAAATAATGTTAGGATATCAAATTTTTTATATTTTTTATTCAATCTCTGGAAAAGAAAATGATTTTGGTCCATTTTAACAACAAAAATGAACAAAAGTTTGTAAATATTAAACACACTGATATCAGAGTTTAGCATTTTTAAGGTGAGATGAAATACGACAGAATTAACTCACTAATAACTGGCTGAGCAAATCTGCCGGAACTCTGCTAGGGTTGCTAGGCAATGGGGTGAGTTCTACTTGGGTTGCTAGGCAATGGGCTGAGTTCTACTTGGGTTGCTAGGCAACGGGCTGCTGATTTGTGACTCAAAGTTTGGGAGGTTTGTGAACATTTTCAGACACCAAAAATTCTAAACTTGTTGCCATTAAACTTTTTTTTTTTTTTTTTTTTTTTAAAACCTTGGGCCGTTTTTAGAAGCAGAAGAACCAAAATGGGAAGTACGGGAAAAAATTTAAACTTTTTTGGGTTCGAAAAATTTTC